GGGAAGAGGCAGGCAAATGCTTTCTTTCCTTTCACACGGGGGCTTTTCTCCTGGCTCGCAGCCACACTTTCGAGAAGCGGATGAAGCCCCCGTCCAGCCAGCCATGTGCTCCCCCCCCCAGCAGCAGCCACCAGCCCTTTAATTTCCTGCACGCCATGGCAGTGATGTCAACCCCTTCCCTAATCCCTGGCCATCTTGGATGCATCCTGACTTGTCAAGACCTTCTCTAGCTGGGTCCCCCCGAGCCGGACTCCGCACTCCAGCTGCAGCCCGACCAGCACGGAAGCACAGCGGCCTGCCAGACCCCGTCTCTGAGCCTGGAAGTGGCTTCTGTTGGTGCAGCCCGGATTGCATGCGCCCTTTTAGCCACTGCAGCACACCACGCTCAGCTCGTGGCCTCCTAGACCACCGAGCGCTGTTCCCTCCTGCACCTGGAGAAGACCCATCAGCTTGCCGTCTGCAGGCCGAGTGCAGAAATGGTTCGACCTCATGAGAAGCTGCTTGCCTTTGTACCCCCCTTCGGCTGCGCCCCCAACCCGAGCCCGAGCCCCAACCCTCTGCTGCCCATCCGAGTGGTGGCGGTGAGCACTGTTGGCCCGGAAGCCCTGAGAGCAGCTGGACGCGCCTCAGTGGCCTCCGTGTGGCGGGAGCGAGGCCCTGTTTGCATTCCGTGTGAATGTTATTCCTGCCGGAGTCAGCTGGAACCCCCAACGATACACTTTTAACTTCTTCCTCTCCCATGCCAAGCTCACCAAGAAGATTTATGATACTGTCTTCCCAGGGCAGTGTTTCCTGCGAGTGCAGGCCTTTCCCTGCAAGGAGCAGATTCATCTTCTTGCCAAAAGCCGCTGTCCCTGGAGTGCTGCAGAATCCTGAGGCAAATCCGCCGGGGCACAGAGTCTGGATGGCGAGCAGGAGCCCCGGCACCGCTCGTGTGGCCTGCACCCGCGCCGTGGCACGGCAGACACCCGTGGCCTCCATGGACCAGCCAGTCCCAGTGGCCCTCGCTGCTCCTTCTTCAGCAGCTGGAGGAGAAGCAGTTGCTCCGACAAAGGGAGGCTCGGCGGGGGGGGGGGGGGGCAGAAGCAGGGTGCCTGCACGTTTAGTGCACACCAGGTGTGCCACACAGAGTCGCACCGGCTCCCACACTGGAGATAGCAGGCACGTGGCTTTCCCAGTTCTGGGCACAAACGGGCTAAAGTCAGCTGGGGACTTGGAGTGGAGAGTGAAACCTCCCCCTCCCGGTCCCTTCCAGGAAAACCGTTCAAGCTTTTTTCAAAAGCCAAATGTTCATTATTTCATGGGCTACGCATGTGTGCACCTTTTGTGGTTGCTGATCAGGTGTCCAGTGCCGATGCTCGGTGCACGGCGATGCACATCCGTGGAGGCCACTGCTCAGGGTCTGAGAGGAAGGGCTGCATGCAGGTCGTGGGTTCTGCCCCCAGCGTCTCCAGGCATAGCGAGGAACACCCTGCCAGAAGCCCTGCAAAGCTCTCACCAGTTGCTCCAGACAAAATGGGAGGTTTTGGATCCGTGGCCTAGAGCAGCTCCTTCAACACCCAGAGCCTAATGTTGTGTGTTCTTGTGTTCCATGGGAGGCGTAGCTCTTGGGTGCAAGCAGAAGGAACGGGCCTGTCCAGATCTGGCTTACCAGAACCTTCCCCACAGCGGTGGTGGGGGCTCTCCATGCCTCCCCGGATGCCCAGGAGCGCTGCGCAGGGAGTGGAAGGGCACCCTGAGTGGAGGGCTGCCAGCGGGTCGAGGAGGGCCACGCAGGGTCCGGCCTGCACCCCAGCACTGCCACCGTTCTACTCAGACACAAGGGCCAGCGACTTCTGGGGACCCACAGCAGCACGCGTCAGGATCAGCCGAGGAAAAAGGGGAGAGAGGCGCGTGATCAGGGTGTTAACTTCATTGTATGCGTGACTCATCCGGAGAGGAAATAAAATCATCGCTTCTTAAAACTGTATCCAAGGCTCCTGCGGGGAAGCAAGAGTTTGCGCGGACGCCCCACGGAGGCCGATGAGTTCAGACTTTCACTGATAGCTAAACTTTATGGCCACGGCGGGTGAGGGTGAACTTTGCCTCTGACCTGAATCCACAATGCAGAGTTTTCTTTTTCCAAAAGAAGGAGATGCAGCTGCAATAATATCACCCCCCAAATAAAATCTGCCCCCTCTCTATTCATTTTGAAAGGAAAATACAGCTACTGGGATGGCTCTACCTCTGTTCAGGCATGCGCTCTCGGGGTCCCACCCGGAAAAAAATGGCCTTTTTTTTGCCTGGCTTGGACGCCTTCTAATGGCCATGTCTGCATTTGACTATCCTCTCGCCTCTCCTCAATTTTTATGTGAGGATTTAAGCAGGTGACAGGGTACCCCCCCAGACTGCTGAGAGCCATCGGTGGCACGAGGCATTTGCACACGCAAAGAGGAGCTTCACCAAGTCACACACTTCAAGAGATGCTGAGAAAAAGGGCAACTTCAACTGTTACCAGATTTATTTGAATAACACACAAACACGGACACCACACACACGTAATACAGAGGAGTACACGGTATAAATGTGGATTGCTAGCACAGGTTTCTTTAAAAGGAATGTAGCAGAAAAGGGAAAAGAAAACCCTTTTTTGCAGTGATTACCGGAGGCAACAAAAACCCTCGTTTCTGAAAGCATTTTCAAGAAAAGAACATGGAACTCTGGCAGCCAGAACACACGACATTCACGTAGCAAGCGCAGGGACCTTTGCGGCTGGCTTTCGGCAGGAGTTGGGCCATAGGCAGAAGAAAGTTGCAGGGGTTTCGCATGGAGCCAACAGAGTGCAGACAAATCGGGCTGATCGAGCATCAGACTTGGGCCTGGGAAGCAAGGAGGGCTGCGCCAGGAGGGGAGGCTACATGATGGAGCGAGCGGACCACGGGAAGCGCCTACGATGGGGCAGGGGAGGGCCGGCTGAAGGGGAACGATCCAGCAGGACTTGTTCCCGCACGGCCCCGGTGAAGCGAATGGGAGGTCTGCAAGGCCGCAGCAGTGCTTCCCATTCCTTCCAGGGGGGCTTCCGCAGAAGAACTTCCCATGGATTGTGCCCTGTTCTTTAGCACAGAGGAGGCATCCTGATTCCGTGCCTCAAGCACCAAGCCGCTGTGGGCCGGCCATGGGGGAGGCCCAGGCTGCCCCGTGCTGAGCTCTGCAGAGGGCACCCCGGCCACCGAGCCCGGCTCGCCTGTCCTGCAGGCCCCTGAGCCTCTAGGCAAAGCAATTTCCCGGCTTACCTGGGAGCAGCCCCCCCCCCGCCCCAGTGTGACGGCGGAGATGCGTATAAGGCACTCGCGGACTCACCGGCACCCGGACCCCACAGCCCTCATCCCTTCCGCCCACAGGTGGAGTGATGCTCTCTGACTTCTGAGTTCAGTGTTTTTGACACAGAGAGAGTCATTTTGGGAGATCCTTAAAACAAAACAAAACAACTGTAACAAACACGGACAGCTGAGTACACACAGCTGTCCTTCAACAATCCAAACAAACCCCACAACCAACTGCTCAAAAATGCAACTTTTACATTTGGGCTTCCAGTGCCTCTGCACAGAACCCTCGGGACGTTCTGTGCTCTGGCGCAACTCCCAGTGAATCGTGTCCAAAAATTGCTGAGATTTCTGTGTTGCAACTGGTCATCATTTCCCATTTGCTCCCTCCGATCCAGGCAGGGTTTTGTCCAACGTCGGATGTTCCAACGGGATACTTGACTGGGAAGCGAAGCACCTGCGAGTTGACCGAGTGATTCCCGAGGCCTCTGCTCATTTGGGGAACGGGAACCCCGACTTTAAGCTCAGCGCTGGCTGCACGAGAGGCGAGGTGGCTCGGGAGGAGAGGCGACCGTGTGCGCTACGCCAGCCGGGGCAGGAGGGCAGCTCCAGGGACTGCGGAGGACACGGGGCAGTCTCGCGGTCAGCAAGCTGCAAGAGGCGACTGGATGAGGCCACCTTTCTCTCCTAACCTACCGCACAGGACTGTTGTGAGGACAACACAGTGAAGGGTGCTCGCTCTGACTCCGCCGCGAATGCCACGGAGGAAAGATGGGGAAAGGGGCGGCAGTGGCAGTGCCTGTGGCAAGATCGTTCTGGGCCAGGAAGCGGCTGCTGGCAGCTTGCAGGACCTCCTGTGGAAGGACTGCTGGTCCCCCGACTGCCTCCTGCGGCCCCACCTGTTCCAAGGGACTGAGGTTTTTCCAAGCAGGTTTTTCCCTGCTTTCGGTTTGAAATGGCTGCTGCGCAAGATGCAGGTGTACGAGGGAAGCCGCCCATTTCAAGGATGGGGCCCCCGCCAACACTGCTCAGTACCCCCCGGGGCAGTGACTTCTGTGGGAAGGTGGCCCCCGGACAGGTTGCCTCTGCCAGTTGCAAGGGAAGCCGCTCTCCCACAGTGCCTGCTGCCACAGCTTGTTTCCCACAAGATCAGGAGGACTAGAAGCTTGTTTGAAAAGGAAGAATGCTGAGCGATTTTTCAGAGTCCCCCCGAGGTTAGGACACCCTGGTAAATTGCCCACGCGCCGTTATCCGAAGCCCACGACCTGTGTTTTTGGAAGTGGTGCCTGCCACGTGACAGCCTGCCAAGTGCTCGGGACGGTGTGCCACGGATGTTGGGGCTGAGAAGGGCGCCAGGAGCAGCCCCTCTCCCACGCGGAGAATCGGGCCCGCACGGCCGGACTGCTTCCCCGGCAGGCGCTCCTGCTGCACTGCATGAAGGTGGTGGCATGTGGCCAGCGATGGGGGGAGCCCCACCCGGTGGAGACATGAACCTGGCTGCAATCCTATTTTTAAAAACATCCTAGGTGTCCCTTTCTAAAAATTCCTGAGTGCCAGTCCCCAGAAAGGTATGTAGGGCGCCCCGGTCGAGCAGCAGCGGCAGCCTGGTCCCCGTCTCCTTAGGAGATCTTCTGGGGAATCTTTATCGTCACCGTCTTCACTTCGGAATATTCCCGCAGTCCACACTCGCCCCTGGAAACGAGATCAAAGCGGAAGGGCTGCGGGTGGGGGGCACACGTGGACAAATGCGCTGTGGGGAGACGCCGCCGTGGTGCCTGGGGGGCCACTAGTGGGGGAGGCAAGCAATGCCCCGGGAAGCCCTGCGCAAGCTGCATGAGGAGTGCCGGGACTTCCTTCCAGGGCTGACCCCCACCCACTCGTGGGAGTGCTTCAGCTCAACGGGGGCATCTCAGGGATGGAGGGCCCCCGACAGGCGTCCCCAGACTGGATGGCCATGACCTTCCTGGTGGTGGCACCCGAGAGAGACTTTTCTGAGCTGGGGGCAGGAGCTCAAGTGTTTCCTGGAAGGACAGCCCTGTTTCCCCAGGCAATGGGCCTCACTCTGGCTGCCCGCCCACCCCTGGGTCGCCCTTCCCACTGCAGAGGCTGAAATGCCCCTCCTGACAGTGGACTGAGCTGTGGCCTGCAGGGACTTTGGCCCACCGGGCCTGGGGGCCACCTCGTGGGAAAGGAACCCGGTCCCAAGCAGGGGAATCAGCTTCCATGTTCCTCTTTTAGAGGAAGGAAACGGGTGGCCCCTCTGCTTTTCTCTGAAGGAAGAAGGGGCGTCTCCACCCGCCTCTGAGACTCCAGCGGAAGAGGGAGGGCCTGGTCCGCCAAGCACCCCCACTTCTGGGTCAGCCCTGGCCAGGGGCCCCCCGGCTGGTGCCCACATCCATGCCTCTTGTGGGGCCCCTGGGCACCCGGCACTGAGAAGGGATGGAGAGGCACCAGCATGCGGTGGCGGCGGAACAAAGCCCTCGACACTTACATTTCTCTCCCGTTGCCGGACATTTTGAACCCTCCGAAAGGACTCTGGGCATTTAAGGCGTTGTAACAGTTGATCCTGCCCGAGCAAGACAGAGTGAGCATCAGGCAAAAGGGCTCTGTGCTGCCCCTCCCCAACCCGAGGGGGGCTGCCTTGGCCCCGTGGCTGTGCCCAAGCGGCCCTCCTCCGCCCTCACCAGACGGTCCCCGCTTGCATCGCCGAGGAGACGGTCAAGGCCTTGTTGATGTCGTTGGTGAAGACGGCGGCCACCAGCCCGAAGTCGGAGTTGTTGGCTCTTTCGATCACCTCGTCCGTGGTCTTGAAGCGCAGGATTTCTTGAACGGGGCCGAAGATCTGCAACGAGCAGAGCGAGGCTCCTCAGCCAAGGAAGCAGTTGGTGCCTTGCTGGCGTTTTGGCTCCCCAGGGGCAACCTCAGCGTGTGTGAAGCCAGCCCCCCACCCCTTGGGGTATGGAAGCCCCACACCACCCTCTCCCTGCCTAAAGGGAGCTGAAAGGAATGACTACGGCAGGGTGCGCTTTCCCTCCGGAACGGGTGGCCAGCCCCACTAGCAACATGCCTACACCTGCTCTCTGCTAGAATTCAGAGGGGACTTCTCATCAGCTCACTCCTAAAATGAGGCGGGTTCTGCTGTGAGATGAGGAAACTCTGTGGCTCTTCTGCACGCGTGCAAAGTCCTGTTTGATTTCCATCAAACTGAGCCACGCCGCCTTAATCAAACTCCCAGAACAGGCCGGGGCGGCCTGCAAAGCGAGAGTGGCGGGAAAGCGCCAGGGTCCACCATGAGGACGGGCTCGGGCTGCGCCTTTCACAGCCTGTGCCTCTGCCCGGAGGGGAAACTGAGGCGGGGGGCACCTCCTCCTTGGCGATGCGCATGTCGTCCGTCACGTCGGAGAAGACAGTGGGCTCGATGAAGAAGCCCTTCCGGCCGAGGGCTTTCCCGCCGCACTCCAGCCGGGCCCCTTCGGCGACTCCGCTCTGGATGAGCTCCAGGATCTTGTTGTATTGCTTCTTGTCAATCTGAGGAGGGGGGAGGGGGGCAGTGTCAGCCCCCCAGGACACTGGAGGCCCCTGGGAGGAGGCCTTGACGTGGCCCCCGGAGCACAAGTGGCTGCAGTCACTGGACAGGAGGGCCCGATTCCTCGCGCTGCGCAGCCACTCCCTCCTGGACAGCACTAGAGGGCTGCAGCTGCCCCTCCCTCCCTCTGCAGCTGCCCTCTGGGATTCCAGGCTGGCACAAAGGGGGCAGAAAGGGGGCATAGCTCTGCTGCTGCCCGGCGGCACCCCACCCCAGCCGCTCCTCCTCTGCCAGCCACAAGCCAGGGCTAACGCCTGCATGCATACACACCCGCCGGGCGGCCTTCCTCGCAGGGGGAGCCTGGCCGGGGAGCTCCAGCGGGCCTGCTCCCGGGCCGGCCCTCTCCCAGGCGGAAGGGCAGCCAGGAGCGCGCCTGGTGCCCAGGGGAGGCCCGGCCTCGGTCCGCCTCGCTGGGGGCTCAGGTTGGGCCGGGTGCCAGCCTGGCTCCTTCACCTGGGGACCCTGCTCCGTGGTCGGGTCAAAAGGGCTCCCGACGACCCGCCTCTTGGCGCGCTCCACGCTCCGCCGGACAAACTCCTCGTAGATGGGCTCCTCCACGTAGATGCGCGAGCCGGCCGTGCAGCACTGCCCCTGGTTGAAGAAGACGCCTTGGTGCGCCTGCTCCACCGCGTAGTCCACTGCAAGGCAGAAGCGCCGCCTGCTCAGCCCCACGTGCGCCCCCGGCCCCACGGCACACGCACCGCTCCGGGGGCAAGGAAGGCCAGGCCACGTCACAGCGGGACGAGGAGCGGCACCCTCCCGGCATTGTGAGGGAAGGCATTTCAAAAGATCAAACACCCAGACGCATGTGGTTTGTGCCTGTTCCCACCACTGGGGATGATTCACTGCGCTTTTGCGTGGGGATTCCTGAAAGGACGGGGCAGAGATGAAAAGACTTTAAGGGCTTTAGGAGGACCGCAAAACACGAGGACACTGCAGGAGGGGAGCGATGCTCGCTTTGGCGACAATGGGAGGCTTCGTGCTGTTGCATCGTCCGGCCTGAGTAACATTGCGAAAGGGACTGGCGTCGTGCCGGGTGGACCAGAGGAATGGTCTGCCTGCCCCCGCGGGCCGAGTGGGGTGCCAGGGGTGCCAGTGGGGTGCTAAAGCAAAGCAGGGCTGAAACCACATCAAGCCACATCTATTGGCCGTCTTCCCGAGGGTTCTCCAGGGGTCACGCTCAGTGGGAGTGGCCTCCCCGGGCCCGACATGCCTAGCCCTGGGGATCTGCGGAAGGCCTGGAGGTGCTAAGGAAGAACCACGAGCAGGCTCTGGGGGAGCTGCACTCGCCCAGCGTGCTAGCGATTCCGCCAAGGAAGCAGCCAGTCTTTCTGGGGGCCAAGGCCTGTCCTTCCCCCCCTACACTGGTGCTCAGCGTGCCTCCTGGGACTGCGTTTCACCTGCGGGAAAACACCCTGGCCTCACTGGAGGATGCTCTCGAGGCAGGGAGGGCAAGTGCCAAGGACCAGGTCCGGCCGTGCCTGAGAAAAACCGGGACATGGGGCTGTGGTGCAGGGGACTTACAGTCTGCGTCTGCGAATATAATATTGGGGCTCTTCCCCCCCAGCTCCAGAGTCACCCTCTTCAAGTTGCTCCTCCCAGCAGCTTCCTGGATCAGCTTCCCGACCTGAAAGAAGGAGTGCGAGTTGCAGGACGGGCATCCCTGCCACATCCCTGCAGGGCGCTTCACTGCCCCCCAGGAAGTCCTCAGGCAGAGCCGGAGCAGCCCACAAAGAATAGCCCATTCGCTAAACATCCGTGCCAAATCGCCCCCTCCCCTGGAGGGACACGGGCAGACATGGCCCTGCTCTTGGCGCGAGAGGTGCCTGGCCTGCCCGGATCCTGCAACCTGACGTGAAGCTCAGTGGGGAGGAGCTTGCTGGGGGTGGGGGGCTGGTGATGCAGCTGCTGGCTCCAGACGTCTGCCGAGCGAGGGCCTGCAGCTTGCTTGGACGATCCTGCCCGGTATCTTGTTGACTGGCGATGAGCTCACGCTTGGTTCAGCTCAGGCACCCTCCCAAGCACGGCGCACTGCTGCTTTGGGCTTTTCGCCAAAGTTGTTTTGTGATCCGGCAAAGCGTCCTGGAGCGGACGCCCACCCCGCCGCCCTTGCAGAAGGGGAATTTATCTGGCCGGGCTGGGTGTGCCCTGGAGCCGCGGCCAAGATCCCACCCCTCCGCGCTTGGGATGCGGCATCTCGCTGGGGCGCGGCCTGCTTGGACCGGACTTCAGTGGCTCTGAGATCAGGCTCCCGGTCCGCCGGCCGGGAGGACTCCAAGTGAGTCGCTGTGGGGAGACGCAAACCCCTCGTGCCGGAAGCAGCTCACGCAGACGCGGGTTTGGGGTGAGAAGCGGGGCTAGGGGCCCCCGTGAGGAGTGATGCCGGCCAGCGTTCTCAGTGCAGCTGCTCAGGTGGCCACAGCGCAAAGGGCGAGGTGGCCTGGCCCAGCCTGGCCCTGGGGGCGCTCCACCGAGCCAAGCAGGACTACAGAGAGGCCGCACAGGGTGATGCGAACCATCCATCCAGCAGAGTTTTTAGGCTTGGGGGGCGCACAAGCCCTGCGTATTTCTCTGGCTCAGCGAGGGCAGAGAGGAGCCTCGGACGCAGAGCGCAGGCCTCCTGCCAGGCCCGGCATGCGGTGCTCCTTGGATGCCGCCGGTCTGTTTGTCCGGCTGTCCCTGACGAGCCACGGCCCGAAAGGGAAGCAGTGGGGGGGGGGTCATGTGGAGGAGCCACCCTGGCAGCCGTGGCCAGCCCGCGGGTGGGGACGCCTGCGAGAGGTGAGCCACGAACAGGGAGGAGGTGGGGTGCTGGAGCGGACGAACGGCAAAGGCTCTGCAGGGGAGCCACATGGCGGTTTCCTGCCCCAGTGTGGCCCTGGCCTTGGAGGAAGCTGAAAGAGCTTCCGGGGGGCGGGGGGGGGGCAAGCGCAGCGACCTATCTCTTGCTGCTGCCATGGTGCCGTCCCACTTTGCCTTCCGGAAGGCTGCAAGTTCAAACGGGCAAATGCATCAAATCAACCCACCGCAGCAGGGATCCCGCTAGGCACGCATCCTGACGAAATAACCCCAAGTCAGCGATCAGCGGGACCCACGTCAGAGGACACACCAGAGGCCGGGCGCATCGATGAGCCGCTGTGCTCTGCCAGGCCCCTTGCTTCAGCGGCGTTTCAAGTGTGATGCCGTGACAAGATCTAGCAGCTGTGCATGGAGATGTTGCACCGGGGCAAACAGGGGCGGGCATTATGCCCCTCACTCCAGGGGCACACACAGAATAGTCCACATTTGACAGCCTTGATTAGGTGAATCCAGAAGGGGCAGGGCTGGGCTCACCCACGCAGGCCCCGCACTTGCAGTTCTAGCCCTGTTCCCTTCTTGTTTTGCTGTTTTACTTATTGAAATGATTTTGATACCAGGGGGGCTCACCTCCTCCTCCTCCTCCTCCTCCATCTCCTTCATCATTTCTATACTGCCCCACAGCCAAAGCTCTCTGTGTGGCTTATAACAAGCATGCCCACATTTGGCCACAGAAATGCAACGGATGCAGCCCTCTTGCAGTACAAAAATACTGCAAGGAAGAAATCCAGCGTGCGTGTGGGGAGGGGCCAACAGTGGGTCAGCCCTGCAGCCCCCCCTGCTCCACGGGCCTTCCGGAACTGTTCCACCAGCCGTTGCTGAGGCGTTTCCCAGTACGGTTAAAGCGAAGCCAGAATAGATCCTGGGGCTTGGAAAACTCCACCATCCTTCGAGGCACCGTTGCCCTGAAGCGTTTCTGTGCCTGGACTTGGCCAAGCCTCTTTGCTGCCTGCGACCAAGATCATTCGGAATGTGCTAAAATACCACCTGCAGATCCAGGTATCTAGAGCAAACTCTGAGGAGAGCAGGAAATTCAATCCCCGGGACGCGTACAAGCCATGAAACTAAGGCAGGTGCAGAAAACAAGCCATGTCCACTTCGAGAGCCATAAAGCCGCAGCCTCGGTTCTGCGAAGTCCTCGCTCGCTCACTCGCTCGGCAGAACAGCTGATCCTGCCATACTGTTTTGAAAGTGCAACCGCGCTGACTCGTTGCTACAAGAATTCCGCAGCACAGGAAATAAACAGCAATGTGGAACAGTTTACACTCACGTTGCACTAAACCGTTCCAGCTGTTCCCACTTTAGGCTCTTAGAGTATTGCCTTTTTCCCTCTCTGCAATGCTTTTCACTTCTTATTAGTGGGGCTCTTAAAGGCAGGTATCGAGTTAGGACAAAATCCACAGCATACTTTGAGTTTAAACGCCTATTAAAAACAAAAGCCCTCTGGAATGACGCTGAAAATTTATTTTGGCTACAATAGACAACGCTGAAACCAAACCCAGCTGTATTTTTCCTCCTGCAATCAGGACAGCATCCTGCGTGAGGGTATATTTAACTAACATGCGGACCACATGCATTCACAAAACCTATCTGCTCCTGCCGGGCCCTCCAGAATTCTGGGAGGCGGCTGCAGGTGGGCGGCAGCCGGGGGGCTGCATGAGGAGGGGATGCAGCTGCTGGGTGCAGGGGAGCCCGGTGCCACGAGGGAGTGGGGGACAGAGCTGCCCCTGCAGCCCAGCCTGCCGGGAGTGCCTCCGGCATGGTCCTTGCCACCCAGAGCACGCATCCTAAAGGGTGCCTGGGAGGTGGCCGGAGGGGCTTCCATGGCCGAGAGAGCAGAACAGAAAGCCCCTGAGAGGCTTCCCCTCTGCTCAGGGCCCCCGCCAGTCAGATTTGGCACCCTCGAGAAAACACTTACCTCGGTGGAGCCTGTAAAGGCAATCTTATCGATGCCCACGTGGGAGGCCATCGCTGCCCCGGTCGTGGGCCCAAATCCGGGCAAAATATTGATCACACCCGGTGGAAAGCCAGCCTGTCGCAAGAGAGAGTTGGAGGGGCCGTGAGCACGTGGAACGGGGCGCAGAGCCCCCGCGTGGCCTGCCGAGCACCCCCAAAGCCGTGCCTCCTCCCTGCCTGCCCCCACACCAGCGCAGGCTCTCTCTCCAGCCGTGGGGCCGTTTTCCCCACCCGGACTCTCCGGAGGCCGAGCTGCTGGCAGAGGGGTGCTCGGCAAGAGTTTGGCCTCGGCGCCCGTGGGGAAGAACGGGCCACGCGAGGCCGGGAGAGCCTTGGCGCCCGCGTCCCCTCACCTCCTTGACCAGGGCTCCCATGTGCAGGGCCGTGAGCGGGGTCTGCTCCGCCGGCTTGATCACCACGGTGTTGCCGCAGCAGAGGGCAGGCGCGATCTTCCAGGCGAACATGAGCAGGGGGAAGTTCCACTGCAAGGGGATGGGAGGTCACGGTCACTGCACCGTCTCCTGCCTGGCAGGTCTCAGAGGAATATCCGCCCGGAGGAGCGCACGAGGGGAGCCTGGAAGCACGCTCCAGAGGCGCTCTGGCGGCGGCGTCTGGGGTGCGTCGGAAGCTGGGGATGTGCTGCCTCAGCAGGGCCCTTCTTGCCATGCGTGGGGGGCAGAGAAGGCCCTGGGTGCTCTCAAGGGCCCCGCGGGCTGCTCTCCCCACATGGCAAAGGCCTTCTGAAGGCTGCGGCTGGCATGCCAGAGTGTCCGACGTGGCACCTCACCCTGCTTCTGGGAGTGCTGGCCACAGTAGCAGCCCCACAGCTCCCCGCCCTGCTTTGGAAGAGCTCTGAGCCGCCTGCCACGCAGCTGGCCGGGGAAGAAGGGGGCCAGAGGAGGGCCCCTCGTGCCACTTGGCCGCCTCTTCCCAGCGGGCCGTGCGGAAGCAGAGTGGCGGGCAAGCGCACCGTTGTGAGTCCACCGGCAGTCCCTCGGAAGCCTGAAGCAGCACAGCCGCAATCCGCACTGTCCTTGCCACCCGGGCAGGGACACTCTCGCAGACCAACCGTGGGATGGAGGGTCGGTGCTTCGCCCTTCTGCAGCCGGGCTGGCAGCAGATTACCGGTGCCTGGCCGAGGTAATGGGCTGGATGAGGGCCAATAAACTGAAGCTCAATCCAGACAAGACGGAGGTCCTGTTGGTCGGTGGATCGGGCTTCGGGGAAGGGCACCTGAACTTAGTCCTGAATAGGGTTGCACTCCCTCTTAGGGACAAGATCCGCAGCTTGGGAGTGCTCCTCGACCCAGAGCTTTCGCTGGAAGCTCAGGTGACAGCGGTGGCGAGGAGCGCTTTCTTTCAGCTTCAGCTGATTCACCAGCTGTGTCCCTATCTGGAAAACGACTGCCTGGAGACAGTGACTCATGCGTTGGTGACTTCCCGCCTTGACTTCTGTAACACGCTCTACGTGGGGCTACCCTTGAAGACATTCCGGATACTTCAATTGGTTCAAAATAGAGCTGCCAGGCTGCTGACGGGGGCTGGGCGTTATGTTCACATGACTCCAGTCCTCTGTCAGCTTCACTGGTTTCCCATTGAAGTCCGGGCCCAATTCAAGGTGTTGGTGATGACCTATAAAGCCCTAAACGGCTTGGGTCCTGGCTACCTGAAGGAGCGCTTACGTCCATATAAGCCCGCCCGCCCCCTGAGATCAGCGGGAGAGGCCCTTCTCTGGGAACCCTCCGTGAAGGAAATTAGGAGGGTAAGTACTCGGAGGAGGGCTTTCTCTGCAGTGGCACCCAATCTATGGAATGTGCTCCCCAGAGAGGTCCGCCTGGCGCCATCGTTATTTGTTTTTCAGCAGCAGGCGAAGACCTTTTTATTCAAGCGTCATTTAACTGTTAATGGTATTTATTTATTTTATTCATTGGCCAGGGCAACTTATTTTATACTGTTAACTTGTTTTATATTGTTAATTTATAGTTTTTTAATTGATTTATTTGTAAGCCACCCCGAGGCTTCGGCGAATGGGGCAGCATAGAAATTTTCTAAATAAATAAACCAGAAAACCAAAACGATTCACTTTCCGTGTCTGCCCCACCTCCCCTTCATGCTGTGAAAGGAAAGAAAATCAGCCTGGGCAACTAAGAGCCCTGCAAAGTTCTGACACTTCTGGTGCAACTCATAGAAACAGAGAAACAGTGCGAGTCAGAAGAGGTCTCCCGGGCCATCTAGTCTGACCCCTGGCTCCACCACGTGCATGTCCAACCTATCCGTGACCACCCTCACCGACGGGGCCTCAACCACTTCCCGTGGAAGGCCATTCCACTCGAGGCCCGTTTGGGCAGAAAGAACTTTAGGCTACTTCTGGCAGGCTCCAGGCAGTGGCAGTCAGAAGCACCAAGCGTCTTACTGCAGATCGGTTTGCTTAATGAGTGTGGCTTTATCCATATGACGTGTTTTCTCTACACTGCTCTGGATACCACTGTAGAAAGCTCCTTCTCCCTCTCCCTCTGTGTGTGTGTGTGTGTGTGTGTGTGTGCGCGCGCGTGCGCGCGCGCGCGTGCATGTGTGTGAGAGAGAGAAACAACATGACATCCCACACTCAATGCTCACTGCAAGACAGAACCGCACCAAACTTCGTAGGAAGTTCAGTGAAGCCTTGTGGGTCCAGAGCAGCGTCTGCCCGGCGTGTGCCCCGATCGCTCACCGGGCATTCCACGGTCGGTCAGCAGGCTCCAGGGAGCTCTCCTGGCGACGGGCCAGCGACAGAGGCGGGAATGTGCGGGAACCCCCTGCTCACGCAACGCACACATCGCTCGTATGCAGGCCCCTCCTTTGCCAGCCCCGAACGGCGCTCCCGATGTCACGCTCCTCCTCTGAAACAGGCTCTGAAAGACCTTGTCTGAGGGAATATTGTCCAATATTCCACAGAGCTGCTCCTGGGGCTATTTTGTCTAACCACTTAAAAAGCCCCTTGCAGGGAAATTGGGGGGGGCACAAACGGGACCCCTATCGCTGGGCCCAGACCTGCACAAACACAGATCAGAAGGCTTAGCAGTGCTGATCATAATCGGCGCTGGCACCGGGCTCCGGGCCCTTCGCTTGACCTTGGTGGCTTCGCAGCCCTCTTCCACCAGCCCTTTGAAAAGGCCTTCTTACCACGGGGGTTTTCCGCAGCCCAGAAAATGCTTTTTCATTCCTGCATGAATGCCCTGCCGGGGACGCTCCGCTTTGAACGGCCGCAGCACCCACCATTTCGCTGGTCAGTTGTGGGGCTTGCCAGCGGAGAAAGGCGGGGCAGAGGTCAGGAGCAGCGCCGTCCCCTCACAGGATGGCCTCGGCCAGGTGTGGCGGTGACCCAGTGCTGGCACTGACCGTCCCGGCCTGGCAGGCGCCAGGCCTGCAGCGAGGCCGCTCCCACACGGGCTGGAGACGGGGTGCGTGACCAGGGGCTCCTCCGGAGTAGAAGGCAGGGCTGAGGGTGGGATGTGGCCGCGAGCAGCCCCCCTGTGTGTGCACACGCGTGTGCAGAGCACCGGCCTCTGGCTTGGGCACAGGCCTACAGCAGGTGCACTGACCCCCTCCCCCCCGTCCAAAGCACCAGATGAGCCTCCCTCGTAGGGAGGTGTGGAGAAATGGGGGGAAAGAGGGTAAAACCCACGGCCACCCCTGAGGGACAGCGCTCCAGTCGCACCGCAGTGCGGAGCTGGGGAGTGAAAACCCCGTTTCCTCCTCGTTGCAGAGCATCTCTCCTGGCAAAGGGCCCACGGACACAGTGCCGCGCTTGCCCGGTCCTGGGAACGGGCCGACTCGAGACTACGCCTCCTAACAAGGCAAGCCCAGGGCCGAAGCGCAGCTGGGATGTGCCGACAAGCACCGCCGGGAGGCTGCGGAAGACGCCCCCACAGCGCGCTCCCGACGCAGCCCGCCTCCCACCCAGCCGCCCCCACTCAGGGTGCGTCCCACGAAAGCCCCCACGAGGCACTGGCCCCACGAGAACACGCTGGAGGCGCGGCAGCGGTACTCACGGGAATGATCTGTCCGCAGACGCCGATGGGCTCGTGCCTTGTGAAGGTGAAGTAATCTCCGTCTGAAAGAGAGAGCCCGGTTGCTCTACGGGCACGTGGCTTGGCAGTCCCCGAGGCCCTCCAGCCCCTCCTTTCCACCTGTGGGACCGAGGACAGGTGCCCCCCCACCAGCTCACTGTCCGAGCAGCCAGACCCCAGCCAGGTCGCTGGCCCCCTCAAGTGGCCGGCAGCTGGCGCCGTGGCCACCAGCCTCGCCCTTCTCCACTTCCCCGCAGGCCCGGCCAGGCCAGGCGGATGTCTCTCTTCACGTGCCAGTCAGCACAAGCTCTGAAACAGGGAAGGTAACACCCTTCCCCAGCACCAACCCACAGGCCGCCCTTCCCCGCCGGGCGAGGGGGCTGCCGGCCAAGTCGCCCACTTGCACCAAAAGCTGCCTGGAAGGAGGTGGCTGGCCCAACATGCCCAACTCACGCAGAGCTGCAGCGGGCAGACTCCCGCCTGCTCTTTCACCCAGTTGTCGCGCGTGCCTCCCTCGGGTCCCCCAGGGACCCCTGGTGTCTCCCGTGGCCTTTGGGTGGACCACCAGCCCCTCTGCGCCAGCACACCGCGTCGGATGGCAACGGGTACCCCAGACGTTACTTCGGTGAGGCCTCCCTGCAAACATCTGGCCGTGATAAATGGATGCATCACGAAAGCATCCTGGTTTCTAAACATAGTCTTCAACTTGACTTTGATTAGAAACAAGCCTTGCTCTGGTTGCCGACTTTCCCCACTCTGCTCTGTCTGGGCTGTGCAAGGGCCGGGGGCCGGGGGTGCGAGGAGAGGAAGGGCGGCGCAAGGCCGCGGCTGGCCAGCTGGGATGCGCTCTCGCGAGCAGTGATGTTTTCAAGACACTCAGAGGAACCTAATAAAGATAGGCTGGTTATCAGTGGAGGGGGAGAAGAGAAAGGAACCAGAGCCCCGATAAGGAGAAGAAGTCACACCGGGGGTGGGGGGGCAGACAGAGGAGGGAGGGCTAATTAGTAAAAGGCAGAGTCTTTTACTAGCGCTATGAGGAGGAGGAAACGGACCCTTCTCTGCCAGGGCTGGTCCTGCAACTCCGAAGCCCTGACTCTGCCCACGCTCCTCTCCAACACATCCGCACAGAGCGCACGTCATGCGCGGGGTCTGAGCACCGGGCACAGCCAGCCAACTCTGTGGACAGGATTCCAAGCTCAAATTTGTTCCTGGAACAGGAAAAGGACTTGAAAATCACAAGAAATCGTGGTTGGGGGTGATTTGAGCTTCCCTTCCTGTGCTGAGAAAGCAGTGGGCCGGCTGCATCACTTTTCATAATCTTGAGAGCTGAAAACAATTTTCCCCTAAAAACAAAGGGAGCTCAAATTTTACAGATGTTGACACTCAACAGGAAGGACAAGTCCCGCAAAAGCAAAAGACCCCTGAAAAGACGCAGGCGTTCCGCTGGAAAAGTCACTTCCAAGGCTTTCTTTGCTGCCTCCCATGACGTGAATCGCCCCGGGACTCTGGTCTCTGAGCCGGCACAGTCCCCTCCAAGAGGGCAGCTGCTCTCCCAGGGCTCCCCCTTGGGGTGTCTTTCCCACGCGGCCCACGTGTGCCAGAGGCGCAACTGGGGCTTGAAGAGGGGGCATCCCGGCACACTGCTTGCGCTCTGCCCCAAGCCCGTGCAGTTGCGTCCAGTTTGGGGCCCTTGCTCTGCAGAACCCGTGGGGGACAAACCCCCCAGCAGCTCTGCTGCCGCTTGACTGGACGGAACCACCGGCCTGGGTCTCGCTGTGACCTGGCAGGGCAGCTGGCAGGGCCCCGAGCACGGCCTTGCACAGCCAGCTTGCTGTGTCTGAGCCGGCCCCAGCAGTGCTCCGGGTCCAGCTGCATGGGGGTGCCCAGCGAGGAGCGCCACCCGGGTGAGGCCAGGGGGCTCGGGCGTCAGGCCGGGCTGATGCCGGAGTGTCCAGCCCAGGCTCTGTCCCAGCAGGGGCTCCCCTGCCAACGTGGCTCTGCTCCTTTGGGCACCAGGCTCTTTGTAACAGATGAGGGAGGGCATCCCTCTGTGGACAGGTGCCTGCTGGCAAGCAGAAGCCCAACATGGTGGCCCAGCAGCAGCCCTGAGTGGGCCGGGGAAACCCTGCCTGAACGCTCTGCCGGGCTGTGCCGAGGGGACTGATCCTGCTGGCCAGCGGGGCATGCAGTTGCCCGTGGCCCTGGGGCTCTGCATGTAAAGCAGACCCCTGTCCCCTGGGCCGGTACCCCCCCCCCCCAAGGACCCTGAGAAGCTGTGGACCACATGCCCCACTGATTGCATGCATGGCTGCTTTCTGGCGCTCGTCTCCCCACAGAACGACCTCCAGCACTTGTGGGCCACAGGGCTGGGTTTTGCCTTGGGCAGCTGGTTAATATGCCTGCCCCCCCCCACGGCTGGCCTGCCAAGATCTGGATCATGGCCACGTACCGCCTCACATCACAGCCCTGCTGAGTTCCACTGGAGGAACAGGGACGCACACTGTGAATGGGGGCTCACCGGGGAGGGCCAATTAATTTGATTAGGCACAAGCAGCCCCCCCCACCCAGCAGGGGGGCCTCCAAAGCCCCGGCTGCAGCAGGGCTCCTTAAGAGCTGGCACCTCCTTCCCACAGTCGGCATTGCAATTAACATGGAATTTTACCGACACATCCCTAGACGCCCCCAGCCTGCTCAGGGGGGGTTTGATGCCAAGGATGGAGATTAAGGCGGCATGCCGAGAGCTGCACCCCTGCACTCCCCCGCCTGCCCCGCAATCCCCCGCCCGCGTGGAGCCGGTGTTCGCGATGCCGGAGCAGCAGAGTTGGCCAGACTGACCCGCCTTGCCAAGGGCTGGTCTTCCCAGAGCGGGGAGATCCCGCCCAGCCGGGACACTGAGCCAGTGGCTAGGAATGCCACAGCCCCTCTGGACAGGCACTGGAAACCGGAAGCCACAGGATGGTCCCGGCGGCGCAAGCACTGTGGCTGGGAGTGCGGTGCCTCGCTGGGAAGCGGTGCCTGTGAACCGGTGCCTCTGGGAGCGCCAGTCCTCTTGTGGTGGCCTCCACTTACCCACTGGAATGGTCACGCCGTGGATCTTGTCCGCCCAGCCAGCGTAATACCGCAGCGTCTTGATGACGCCCTGCAGGTCCACGTGGAAGGCCTGCAGGAAGGGTTTCCCGCTGTTCAGCGCCTCCATGGTCTGGGGACAGAGAAGAGGAAGTGCGGGTGAGCCCCACCATGGCCGTCTGTCAGCGTCTGCGGCGGGGGATGCTCTGCTCCCCAAGGGGTGGGTCCTGGCCTGGGGAGCCCAGAACTTTTGCGAAGCCAAGCGTGAATCTGGATGGGCGCCTGGGAAAGTGGCCACCCCCCGCAGCACCCTGGGGGCTTCCCAGCTGTCAGTCCCCCGCATGCCCCCCAGCAGGTTGGGGCTCCTGTACAGCCCCTGCTGATCTTCCAGGGGATCCGAGTGCCTGGGGGTCTCCCTTGCCTTGGAGAGGCTGCCTCCCCTCTGGCTGCAGTCCCCGGCGTGCCAGGCAGAGGTGCCTCGCACCAGGGGCCAAGGCCAGGCAGAGCTTGCGGAAGGTGACTGAGGAGTGCCCCTCAGAGCCCTTTCTGGATTCTCCGCACCCCGGAAGAGAGGAGGGCCAGGCGCCTCCGGGGGTCCGCCAGGACACTTGCTGTGGCTGCAGGAGCCCTGCGGGGGGCCAAGATCTCCCCGGCACCCAGCGGGCCTGTTTCTCACCTCCATGGCGGTGGGGAGTCTGACTAAACATGTCACGGGCCCCTTGCAGTAGAAAGCAAAGCAAAGCAAAGCAAAGCAAAGCAAAGCAAAGCAAAGCAAAGCAAAGCAAAGCAAAGCAGGGCTGAACAAAAAAAGAAAGGAAAGAAAAGCGCACAAGAAAGAGAATGAAGATCCTAAAGATCCTCTTAAGGAACCCCATAAAATTTCCACTGGGATCACTTAAATCACTTTTAGGAGGCACCGTTATCCACCCAGGATTGTTCCAAGAGGGGGAAATGCGCTTGTGAAAGCAGGTATATCACGCAAAGGGATGTGGGTCATAAATCCCGTTGATATACAGAAGGGCGAGGGCCGTATTTCTCCCCGGCTCCCCTCCTGCAAGCGCAGCCGGTGGCGCTGCATGAGGCCCCCGCTCAATAAAGCGCTTGGCTCAGGAAGCGGGATCCCGCGACAGGCAGGGAGCTGGCTGGGCTGCCCAGCCCTTCCCTTCTCCCCGTGGCGATTTTACAGCATGCGCCGGTGGTAAGATGATTTAAGTGTTGACAAAGCTGGAATTAAGATGTTTGCCGGCTTAGTTCAAAGCACTTGACATGTGGAAAATAACATTAAGTGCCACCGTGCAGGGCCAGCCACACGTGCTCCGCCACGTCCTCCTGAGCCGCGCGGCTCAACAGTCGCCCGGCATGCGGCGGGAGCAGCCCTGAGGCCGTGGGGCTCGGCGCAGAGGCGGCGGCCGTTCAGCGGTGGTGCCGGCAGCCCCCGGCCCTTGCCCCGCTCGCTGCCCCCGGGCTTGGCCTCTGCCGGGCCCGATCCGTCGAGGCGCTGCTGGTGGAAGGAGGCGCCATGAGCCCTGGCCCAACACCCCGGGGTTCCTCCAAACCCCTCCTCAATGGCAGCCTCTGAGGACCCAGCCCTGGGCTGCAGCCTTCCCTGTGGCCCGGAGCCCCTGGGGGCCTTCCTGGCCATGTCCCGGCCCAGCCGCGCCAGGCAGCCTCTCCTGGGGGCCCCTCTCGTGGGCTGCCCACACACGCACGCCTGCGCTGGCCCCTGGGCCGAGCGCCACGGCTGGGCAGGAGCGAGCTGCCTGTCAGTGTTGGGGAGGCCCCCGGTCGAACGGCCCCCGGCCTCCGACTGTCCTCGTGGTGCCGCCATGTGCGCCAGGCTCCAGCTGGGGAATGGAGCTTCCACAGATGCCTGGGCAGCGCTGCCGCTTTCCCCCTGCGGACCTCCAAGCAGGCCCTGCCAACATGCCCTGATTAACTGACCGAGGCTCCTCTGACGGGGTGGCCACCTCATAGACCGCTTGCTTTAAAAATCCGCAAAGGCAACCCCACTTACTTATGCATCTTGTTTGGGTCACCCCGCTGCAGATTTCGATGGTTTCCCCATGACAGGGCCAAACCTCCAACCGGCCAGAGGGGCCCCCAGCACCCTTCGCGGGTCAACTTGTAAGCCGCCCCAAGGCTTCGGCGAATGGGGCGGCATAAAAACGTTTTAATAAATAAATAAAATAAATAAAACTTACGGCCAGGAGGGCTCGGTCCCTCTCCACCAGGTCGGCCAGCTTGTCCAGGAGGCGGCCCCTTTCCGACGCATCCATCCTCCTCCACACGGAGCCCAGTGAGAAGGCGAGGCGGGCGGCCCTCACGGCCTTGTCGGTGTCAGGCTGCAAAAATGGCGGAGTGGGGGGGGGAGAAAAAGACTCGCCGTGAGGGAGAGGCCCGAGCCCCGTCCCAGAAACGCCAGGCTGCCAAGGTGAGCGGGAGCGCATTGGGCAGCACATGGCCCCCCTCTGTTGAAAAGCCACGGGAGGGGGAGACTGGGGACCCCTCAAGCACCCACAGTCCCCCAAAACCTCCTTCCTTTAGAAGTCCTGGGTGGGCACTGCCTGGGTTGCCCCGAGGCAGCGTCCATCCTCGGCGGGCTGCCAGGCAGTGCTCCTCACCCGAAGGGGGGGCCGTGGCTGCAGGCCCCCATGCTGCCCAAGTGGGGCCCGGCCACTAACAAGGTGGGGGCCCCACGGGGCAGCCAAGGCAGCAGGGGGGGCAGGGGTGCCCCGTGGCCAGTTGGGCGGGCCAGCTCTGGGGTGCAGGGTGGGCAGCTTCCTGGGGACTGGCTGTGGCGTGGGCCAGTGTCCCAGAGCAACTGGGGCAGCAGCTTTAAGGGGAGGACTCCTGGCATACCCTACCGTGTCAGCTTCTTGCACCTCGCAAATCTTCTCTCCTGTCGCAGGGTTGTACACGGGGAACAGCTTTCCACTCTCTGAGTTTTGCCATTCATTGTTGATAAAAATCTGAAAAGGGGAGTTTGAGAGAGAGAACCACCACTGTGCATTTATGTATTACTTATTTATTGAAAGTTTTTATATACCATCATTCATTAAAAGAAATCTCATGATGGTTTATAAAATTTTTAAGAACAATTAATTCAAACAGTTCAACCATTAAAAACTCCTTAGTGCCAGTACTCAATGCAAAAATAATTAAAATGCCATTTAACAATTAAAAAACTGGGTAAATAAAAAGGTTTTGGCCAGGCACCAGAATGAATAAAATGCTGGTGCCAGGCACACCTTTCTGGAGAACGAGTTCCATAATCATGGTGCCACTGCAGAGAAGGCCCTTCTCCTCACAACAGCGCCCTCACCTCTTTCAAGGAGGGCTCTCAGAGAAGGACCTCCGCAATGGTCTTAAGGTCTGGGCAGGCTCATAGGGAAGGAGGCCTTCCCTTAGATCAGCAGGCCCTAAACCAGTGGTGGCGAACCTATGGCACATGTGCCACAGTGGGCATGCAGAGGCCTCTCTGTCGGCATGCAAGCCAAGTTGCCCCAGCATCACCCCAGCAGACGAGCATGGGATAACAGCGCACATAGGGGCCATGCGCATGCTCGGAAAGGAGTAGCGGCACCGTGAGATGATGTCACGAGCCGCGGCTCATTAGCTGCAACTCGTCCAAGCTTTCGCATGGCTGGTCAGTGTGCTGCCAAGGATGGATGGATATATATATAGATATCTTGGACTGGCTATGAGTTATTTTTTCTAAACTAAAACCTCCATTTTTAGGTTTAATTGCAGTGTTGACACTTTGCAGTAAATACGTGGTTTTTGGGTTGCAGTTTGGGCACTCGGTCTCTGAAAGATTCACCATCACTGCCCTAAACCATTCAGGGCTTCATATGTCATCGCTAGCACCTCACGTCAGGCCCAGACTTCAGTTTAGACCCAGGTGCAGCTCCCATCCGGGATCCCTCTCAAAGGCGCCCAAGCGTGTGGGTGACGGCCACCCCAAGGAGGGCGCTCTTGGGGAGTTCCCTGCTCTAGAGATCCCCACCCTCACCCCAGACGGTGTCTGGCCACTCAGCAACGCTGCTCCTGCCATTCACTCCTGTGCTTTCCATCCACCCACTTTATGCCATGATTAAGATCTGCATTTGATCTGGCTCTTGCCAGTCTCGAGCGTCACTTTGGAGCAGGAAAAAGGATGGGAAAAGATGGAAGAGTGATGTGAAATTGAAAGTGCGAAACCCGGGTCTGGAAAGGCGTCTCCAGACTCGCAAGCCGCATCTGCAGAATATTTCTAGGGATGAAGATGTGCAGATACATAACTTCACTCACAGCTGCTCAGCTGATAAATCTGATGCTTTTTGCAACCATCTTCTTTTTTAGAGTGACTATTGTTTGGAACCGAGATAATGTTACAGGTCAAAAATGCAATGAAACATGTCACATGGTTATGCCTGAAATATAATCCAGTTTGCGACTAACACTGTTTGGCAATAAACAAAATAAGGCTGCGAGCCCAACATAAGAAATTGTTTCTCTAAATCAGGCATTTAACTCACTGGACGGGCCACATTACCAGTCTGCTTCTGGATTCCTTCTGGAGTAAGAGCAGGTCCATTGCAAGTGCCCCCCGGCCCAACTCTTCTTTCTCTGCCTTTCTATATATTCCATTTCACAACCGCAAGAGGATGCATGGGACCAGGACCTGCAAAGGGACACGGCCGTCTTGCGGCTATTTATAGTAGGCCGGCCCTGTAATGCTGCATCAGCCTCATCCTAAAAGAAGCAGGGAAATGCTCAGAGAGCACGGGAAAGATGCGGGAGGATGCAGCACCCACCACCCAAACCGTGTGGGTGAGGACTCCCAGGGGCACAAGCCCTCCCTCGGGCAGAGAAGCTCTGAGTCACAAGCAGCAGCTTCCGCGGCAGGGCCAGGTCTGGGCCAAAACGGTGAACTGCAGAATGCAAACATGGTTTTGATTTGGAGGTGCAATCCTGCATGGGTGCAGAAAAGGGGCTTGCAAGCCCCAGCCTTTTTCTTGTTTGCACACGCATAGCAGGGGCCTGGCATGTCATCTCCTCCTGGGTCTACCAACACACCTCTCCATCCAGTTTCTAGAAAGGGATAAGTCTGGAGCTTTTAGCTGCAGAAGCAAAACAAAGCCAAGACTTGCCCCATTTTCCACGGACAGGGCTGAAGCCTGGCACAGCCCACGGCGGGACCACCCGCTCCTGCAAAATTAATATGAAAGCCACCGTCCATCTGTCACTCCAAATCAAGAGTCCTTTTGCAACAGAAATAGGATTGAAGCCTTAAGTGGATTGCCTGAAATGGAAATTGGGATTCTCACAGCACAAAGAGAAATCGCAAACCCCCAAATTGTCAAAACTGCACAACGGCGCTGAATGAAGCAAAGCTGTGGAGCTCAGGCATCCAAATACCCCGTCTCAAGACATAAACCTTTTCGTCATGGGAATCAAGCCGATAACGTGAACTCATCTCCAACTTTGCTCCCGCTCAAGGAGAAAGGCAGCCGGGGAAGACGGGGGCGGCCCATGTGCCCTGCAAGAATCCAAGAGGTGGGGCTGGCTTTCCCTCCTTGGGGCCCACTGTGCACATCTGATGGGAGCACCCCCATGACACACTCACGTGCCCGGGGCCGAGCCGAGCCGGCTGCTCTCGGGTGCTGCACAGAAATGCCCCAGCTCGTCCCCAGAGAGGTCTTCTGCCCCTCCGTACCCTTCCAGGGAGCGGGCACCAGAGTGCTGCCCGTGGGACGCCACCCGTAGCCAGAGGCACCCGCCTTGGAGGGCCACTCCAGACACAAGGATGGAGCACCCCGTGGTCCCTGAGGAGGAGCCCCCAGAACAGCTGCGGGGTAAAGAAGCGGTCACAAGGGAGGTGGGGCTTGCACTGCAACCCAAAGGAAGATCAGCTGTTCGGGATGCGAGGGTGGGGGCACCTGGGGGGGCACTTCAGCTTGGGGGGACAACTGCTGCCACACTTCTTCCGTCTGAAGGTGAAGTGCAAAGGAACTGCCCTTCAACAAGGGGAATGCTCCCCTGGCAGCCTTTGAAACAGAGGACCGTCCGTCCGCTGGGGAAGAGATCACACCTGGCCTCAGCAGCACAGCAGCTGAGCCTGTGGCCATCATGCGGTTTGCGAGAGCTTTCTGAACACCATGGGTGGAAGGGGCCGGAAGGACACCCTGTGGCAGGACGCTCCTCCAGGGATCTCTGCTGAAAAGGTGCTGGCCCTCTGCCCCAGCCACCGAGGACTGTTCTGGCCGGGCTGCACCCTCTGCGGCACCGGGGACTCCAGCTGCAGCGAGCGCGGCCGCCACGGAATAGCAGCACAGGGGCTGCAGCAACTGCTACTGTTAATGGTTAACGCTCATTTCTTCCTGTTCCACTTTCTATAAACAAAGTACGGTCTAAGCAAGATCATTACTGTAAACCGAGCACCCTTAAATTGGCAGTAAAATTGGAGTATTTACTCTCCTGCCCATATAAAGTACCTTGTCCAAACTCTTGGAAAAGTTTCAAGTCTTGAAATCCAGCAGCTGGCGGCTTTACAAGCATAACCTTATGTTTAAATAACTCACTTTTTGAAAGTTTTAGGCGTTTGGTGTCAGGTAGTGCCATTCCACGGGCTTTCCTCCCCACGGAGAGTCAGATTCTTGGACAATAAATTTGGCTTTGCCAGGCTTTTTAAGAACTTGTCCAGTTCCGATGGTTGTTGATTAAATGTTTAAAGCCCGTACATTTGATCTGACTTTCATTACGGCCAGTTCGTAAAACCGCCACAGGCCCGGACAAGCGATGACACATTACGCGAATGAGGAATCCCTGCAAAGCCTCAAATTGGGTTTTCGTTCCTTTCTTTTATTGTGCTCTTATTTATAGTGACCAGGGTAGCAGGCAGCTTTAAATCAGGGGGAATATTTGACAGCAAATGTTGCTATCAGTGCCTTATATATAACTCATCCCAAAGACCAGATGAAGAAGGGATAACCCCGGGAAAAGGAGGGCTTGCTTCCATGTAAATCATGCAACAAATTGGACAACACCCAGAGAGGGCATTGTTCAAGCTCGATCGAGAAGACTGCCCAACGTTTACCGTCCCCCTGGAATCACTGTTAATTAAGGCTGACTGCGACCGTAAATCAGCCATTCGTTTTTACAACTTAATTCAGCTTTAAGCGTGTATACACACACACGCGCGCACACACATATAGGTAACTGATTAACCACACGGGTTCCCCAACCGTTGCTGAGCTCATTTGTTTTGATTTGGACCCCAGAGCTGCATTCCGTGCTTTGCACAAAGTGGGGGGCAGCCAGGGGTGCTGCGCCCCTCGGCATCACGGGCGAGCCGTGTGGCGTGGGGAGCGGTTCAGTTGCTCGGCTGGTGGGGCTTGGTCCTTGGAAGGAGCCAGGCTGGGGGGGAGAGAAGTGCGTTTCACTCCTGGAAGGACTCTGCGCTTGCTGTCTCCACTGCATCCGCTCGCGGGGTGGGACTCCAGGGCCTCTGAACGGGCCCAGGGCCACGGGGCTCCCCCGGGGATGAAAACTGCTGCTAGGATGGGCTTGCTGGGATGGAGAGGGGCCTTCGGGGAGAGAGCGTGGCTGGTGCTTGACGGGCCTCGCAGGTGTCTGCCCGGAATCCCTCACAGAGCTGCTGGGGTGCTGGTGCTCTCCTGTGGGGACATGCCCTGCCCTGCCAGGGTCTCTCGCTCGCCTGGCCCAGACAGGCAAGGGAAGGCACAGGCCCCTGAGGGCTCCAGGGAGGCGACTGGGAGCAAGGCCTTGCTGCCACTCACCCCGCCTGAAGCAGGACCCGGGAGTGCTTCCGAAGCTGCACAACTCTTTGCCCAAGGCTGAGGTGAGACAGGCGCTGGGGCCCGTGTGCTTCTGGGGCCTGGGCAGCCCCCTGCCCGGAGCACCCAACAGACCCACGGAGGCCTCTGCTTGCTGCCAACGCCATTTAAACGCCACCAGTGGGACAAGA